CAAACTTTGTGGGCGGGACTAAGTTCGGAATGGCACCCAGGCTATTTGAGGACCAGTTTACTCCTAATTTTGTTTCTGGGATAGTTAAAAAAAGACAATCAGATTTTGAGATTTTCTTTATCTTTGTGTATCATTTGTCAGGTAAATATCTATCAGATTCTACAATCTTGGCAGCCTTATAGCAGACAACACAGTGCTTTCCCACCTTGAGGTCTTACCACTTGCACAAACAAATATTTTTGTTCAAATAAAACCCCATAACATTCTGGTTCATTTGAAACACCATTATAGATTTGTTTCTCTCTCAAGCTGTTGTCATATATGCATATATTTTTAGAGCCATAAGTTATAATTCAATGAGCTTCCATCATGTTGTGTTGCATAGATTTACTTCTTGCATTAATGTTCTTAAAAAAGAAAAACCTTTTTAAAATCAAAAATCAATGCCAAATCATTCAATTAATAAACTTAACGTGTCAGTTTTTCCGATCCATTTTGTAGAAACTCTAGATTCAACACAATTTTGCTATCAGAAATCTCAACATGATGTTTTAGTTTAAGGTGAAAGATTACAATCTAAAGGCAGCTGTGGATTTTTAAATACAAATTATTACTTTACATTATAACCAGCAACTGTACTTAAAGAAAAATTACAAAACAGTTCATTTGCTTTAGAATACTGATGCAGCTCATTAAAAACCATAAAAAAGTCTAGCGCCATGAACCACAAGAGGAAAAATATATTTTCATAGTAGTTAATGGAACAAAAAAACAAGCCATTTTAACTCAAAGGCCAGTCTGTAACTAAATGTGCCTATCAGATGTGGGCAGCGTTGACATACAGTAACATGTGTGAGCTTACTGCACTTATCATGTTTTGCGTGTGTATTTCCAAAGCTGTTTTGGGGCTCTAAAGTTGGATTGGAAACTTAAGTTGAATAACAGTTACAGTCAGTAAAAAGCTCTCAGGAGTGATTATTTGAGACAAAAGAAAATAGGAGAAATTCTCATAATCACAAACTAGAAAATGGGGATTTTCTTCATACTTGCTAATACACGCCTGTCTGTTTAAAGCTCTTTTGGATGTGCTTGCAGATTCAAGAGGTAGTTTACTCATCAAAGGAAAATTATCTGCAAAGTGCAAAGATCATGTAACTTAGAGTCGATTGTTTGCAAGAATTTTTATTGCAAAAAGGTAAACGATCGCCATGGAGGCACTACAGGTTCAGCTGGCTTAGCCTGTTTGCTAAAAAGGCAGTTATGCACCTGAAGGAAACATGAAGTTGTGTTTTGCTGTATTTCTGGAGAGCCAGTAGAAGCTTTGTTTTCATAAAAGTAGGCCTCCCAGTTGTGTGGAAATGGGGTTAAGATCCTAA